TCAGCTGAACATCTGGAAAGATGGAGCTACACTCGATCTTTCCAAGCTTATCCAAAGTGGCTGAAATATAAACACAGACATGCAGCAGCGCTGGGGCATCGCAGTCACTAACGAGGAGATTAAGGTCAGCTTCTCTGATTGAAAAAAACAAAAACAAAAACAACTCGCTGTTACAAAACTCTGTGTGTTTCTGTGCACGGAGCCGCATGGTCGGGTCTTGGTGACAGGTGTTAGAGAGCGGATCAGCACAGCACCACGCCAGTGGCCCATTTCTCTCGTCAGCTCGCTGTTTGGCTCTCTCTGTCCACTCTCTCTTCCACTTCTGTCTTCACAGGGCCAAAAGCAGCGAGGATTTTGATGACAGCTGGGTAATTATTACATAATGGCTGCTTAGAGGCCCTGGAAGAGGCACTGCACTGATTACATAACTAAAGAGAGAGAGAGCGAGGGGGAGGTAGGTGGAAGTTGGTGATTGGATTGAGTAGGCAATCTGCGATTGGTTGAGGTAAGCACAGAGGCTGGTGCTGCTTAGGCTCCAGAAGGTTAGCAGTCATTGGCTCGAGTTAGAGGCAGACTTAAATAGATTTGACCTGTTTTTCCGTCTAGGTGTCCACTGTCTCGGGATTGAACCTGAGCAGTGAGCGGATGACAACACTGTGGGGAAACTGGTGTGTTGGAGTCCAAATGTCAGGGTAGCCTCAGGTTTGGAAACAAAAAGGTGTGCAGCTCAGAAGGTAGTACTTAACCTAGCTTAGCTACGCCAGGTGTTTCATATTTGCTACATGGGTTTTTGAGACCCATGTATCTGTCTGTGCAATAAGTTGCACCAAAATGCCAGAAGTAGCAGATATGATACAAATTAAACCTCAGATATGCAAATTAATATTTAATTTATTTTTTAAAAATTTGAATTTTGGGGCAATTATTTCAGGGTCCAGGCCTTACAGGGATTAAACCTTTGAACTTCCTTATCAGCTTGGCTGTAAACATGTTAAAGAGGACCTGTTCTGCTCCTTTAGTATTCTATGTAGCACTGCATTATTCACATTTAAAAATAAAACAAAACCTGAAACACATTTTTCTCTTCTGCCAGCTCCTCATTTGAATCGGGGCTTCCTTTCCTTTCTTTCCTGAAGCCTGCAGAGGGGCAGCAGGCATTGCCTGGGACAGTGGGAGCCTTGAAGTTCCAATTCTAAGTTAATGTTATCAGAAAATGGCAACCAGAGTTATTATA